CCCCAAAACCCCAAAACCCCAAAACCCCAAAACCCCTTAAAATGCTGGAAATGTTGAACAAATGATAATATTAATTATATAAATGAGCGACAAAGAAAGACTGATCACGTCTAAAGATAAGGATTCCGACGTTGGTATCAACAAGTACTACTCAAGTAAGCACCTCTTTATTTTCATTCCGAATTTTGGGCTTCTGATAAATTATTTGACTAAGAAATAGCTCAAAGTGGTCATTAGAAATGAGCAACATTCCAATTTTTAATATAGAGCTCAGCTCAGATGAAGTTGGGGAGGTCAAAAAGGAAGCAAGTTTCAGGGATACCTTCTGGAGATGGGTAGCACTCTTCTTTGCATGCTTCTTCCTTCTTGGAAGCTACTTTTGATATGATAACCCTAATGCATTGAGTGACATGCTGCAAAAATATGTATCTGTAGGAGATGTAAAGTACAATTTGCTTTACTCTGTGTATTCATATCCCAATGTGATCTTACCTTTGATCGGTGGAGTCCTCATTGACAAGATTGGAATCAATTTCTCTATTGTTCTCTTCTCTATTTTATTGGTAGCAGGGCAAGGAGTCTTCGCAATTGCAGGATTTGTTGGGGAGTCTGGGGAAGATCATGTTTCAACAGCTTTCATTATCGCAATTATTGGACGTGTTGTATTCGGACTTGGGGGAGAATCACTCAATGTGTGTCAAAGTACAGTTGTCAGTAGGTGGTTCAAGGGAAAAGAACTGTCTCTTGCCCTTGGTATCAACATTAGCGTGTCAAGGCTCGGGTCTGTCTTCAATAACTACACAATGCCTCCTTTAGCAGATGCAACTAGTCTAGGATGGGCATTAACATTTGGATTTATTTTGTGAATTGTATCCTTTGCCTGTGGTATTGTACTCACATTCTTTGAACGACACGCTAATAAGGTAGACAAGAAAAGTGGGGCTCTAAACGAAGACGAGAAGGAAGAATTTCACTGGAGAGATATCAAAGAATTCACTTTACCATTTTGGTTGATTTCCGCTAATTGAGTTTTCACATATATTGGCATTTTCTGATTCAATAATATCTCAAATGATTTCTTTGTAGCAAGATATGGAATTGAGCAAAAGAGTGCTGCAAGAATTACTAGTATTGTATTCTTTATTCCTGCTTTCTTGGCTCCTGCATTTGGTATTGTCACAGATAGGATAGGACATAAGGTTACTTTATGAATTATCGCGACATCCACATTGACCTTGTGTCACGCACTGTTTTTCCTTATTCCTGCATCAAATGATCAGAATATTAGTTACTGGGGTATAGCTCCAGTTGTCCTATTGGGTGTAACCTACAGTATCTATGTGTCAGCATTATGGCCAATGGTGCCTATGGTAGTCGAAGCAAGAGTGCTTGGATCAGCATACGGACTGTGCACAGCTCTTCAAAATATTGGTCTTGCGATCGGACCTACCATTGTAGGAGCTCTCACTTTCAAGAAATCAACAGACGATGAGCAAACAAGTGGTATAAACAACAATGCTTTCAACTATGTCAGCATTGCTCTGGGCGGGTTTGCTCTACTAGGAGTTCTCTCTTCTATTGCCTTGTTAATAGCAGACAGGATCCAACTCAACGGTAAACTTCAGAAACCAGACAATGATGGAGAGAATGAAGAAGAAAATGGACACAACCAAGAAAACGAGGATCATGTAGAAGACATGGATAGTCATAGCCATGGACAAAATAGTGAATCATATAAAGCTCATGTTAAGAGAAGTATAGCAAGATCTTCAATGGCTAGATAAGATATAAAAATAATGCTATTGGCTCAAAATCAATTTTGATCAAGCTCTTTGGGGTTTTGGGGTTTTGGGGTTTTGGGGTTTTGGGG